AAATATGTTGGTATTTTCTCACTCCACTGAGTAATCTGGCCGCCGCATTCTGCACCACCTGCAGTTTCCGCAGCAGCCTCAAAGGTAGCCCCATGTAGAGCGCATTACAGTAGCCTAATCTTGAGATTACGAGCGCATGCACCAAGGTGGTGAGCGCCCCAACATCAAGGTAGGACCGCAGCTGGGCTATCCGCCTAAGATGAAAAAAGGCGGTGCGGACCACAGACGCCACCTGGGATTCCATGGTGAGCGCTGGGTCCAGATAGATCCCCAAGCTGCGGACCCCATCCTTGGCGGGCACAGTCACCCCCCCAAAGGAGAGGGAGTTTCCCAAATCCCCAACTGTCGGGGCGCCCACCCTTAGTACCTTAAATGGTGGGTGTGTCTGAAAAGCTCAAAAGGATTTTTGGTAAACATCACATACCTGTGCCCATCGCCATTTCAAATATTCAATCAACTAGGGACCAATAGGGGAGCTGGCTGGATAGCTCAGTCTAGATATCTGGCTGCAGAATCGGATTCCCCACTGTGCCTCCAGAGAGAATATCCAGCCTATGCAGCCTTGGGCAAGTTGCACAGTTCCAGAGTGCCCCCAGAAGAAGAGAACGGTAAACTTCTGAGTACACTTCTGAGTACTCTCTACCTGGAGAACCCCAGAAAAGGTTTGCTATAAGTCCAAATTGGTGTGATGGCACAGGATTATTATTATTAGAGACCAGTAGAGGCTTGCAGAATGAATGGGGGTGGCACCTCATTCTGCTAAGATTATGAAGTATCTGTGCTGTAAACCTAACAGAGAGAATTTGAAAACCAGTAGTAAGTCATGGCGTTCCGCGTCTAGTCGCGCTGGCTGTGTGACCATGGAAGATTTTCTTTGGACAAACGCTAGCTTTATGGGTTGGAAACAGAGATGAGCACACACACCCTAGAGTTGGACACGACTGGACAAATTGTCAAGGGGAACCTTTACCTTTACCTTAGTAAGTCACAACTTGAATAGGTTCATTGGATCAGTGAAATTTACGAAGGGGATGACTCACCAAATCCTCACAGATTCAATGGGCCCACTCTGCTTGCTACAGAACTACTAAATTTCAGCCGTTTGTTTGTTTGTTTGTTTGTTTGTTTGTTTGTTTGTTTGTTTGTTTGTTTGTTTTATATGTTGCATTTCTCCCAACAAGGGACCCAAAGCGGCTCACAACATTAAAATTCACACAATTTAAAAACACAATAAATTCAATATTAAATGATAAATTAAACAATACATGATTTAAAACACAATTAAAAGATTAAGACTTGAAAACTTTAAAAAGATTAAAATTGCTGTTGAAATGAGGTTCAGGGATTCACTTATTATTTTTAAAAGCCTTCCTGAAGTCAACAATGAAGCATCATCAAGAACAGCATTACTGTATTATTGTTAATAATTATAACGTTAATAACTCAAAGAAAGAGGTGATTATAAATTTAACAGCTGCTCAATTACTTATAGCAAGAAAGTGTAGGAAGAACTGGATTTTTCATCCACATGAATGATATAATAAACTCTGGAATAATGATAAACTGACATCTGAAATTAAGTTTTAAAAAAGGTGTGATAAAGATTAATAAATTTAATAAGATATGGGATGACTTTATAAATGCCATAAAGGAAAAGGGCAAAAGACAAGTCTGACCTTATAAGGTTGTTGTAAGGTTAAAAGAGGAAACTATGTACACTGTCTTGATCTTTTTGAAGGACAGGTGGGATGGAAATGTAATTAATATTCAAATGCTTAAGAGTAGCATGTGTCTATAAAGTACTTTATAGCCTGGCAAACAAATGTACATCTGTTGGAAGACTTAATATTTGCATTGCTTTTTTCTTTGTTTTTCTTTTTTTCCCTCAGGCAAAGCAGATAATATAATGTACTTTGTGTTCCTGGGCATCCAATACTAGTTTGGCAAGGAAAGAAAACATTTCTTTTAGCACAACAGAGCCAACCTTTCCTGCACCCATTCACCAAAATCATCAGTAAGACAAGCACCAGGCAATGAAAAAGCCCTATAAAACTAAATATACCAACATCAAATTGAAAGAGATCTTGAATATATCCAAGATGACGTCGTTTCTCTAACTGCCCTAAGTAAATGGATAAACCCCTTCTAACTCATCCTGAAAAAAGTGTACAGCGAACACTCAAGCACTACAGCTTCAGGAGTGAAGGGAACATCATATCCAGATTTTCCTGTTTCCTCGTACAGTCTTATTCATCTTAATGTTTCTTTATCAACACTCAAGCACTACAGCTTCAGGAGTGAAAGGAACCACCAAATATCCAGATTCTCCTGTTTCCTCGTACGGTCTTATCCACCTTAATGTTTCTTTATCCCTGTTTGGAGATGGTTAAATGTTTGACTATGTTATTACAGATACTAACGGATCATCCCTCTTTCAGTCTGATGGCTGGCTAAGATATTACAATGTAACTGATAGAAGATAATCTTCTAATAGCTAGAAATTACTCCCTAGCATTTGGAATATATAACCATCATCATTTGGAGGCAGGCCTAAGATTCCAACTAAGGAGAGAGCTGCAGAAGAACAAATGAATCTTTTTTAAAAACTCTTTGAGACTTTTAGTAGTAGTCCAAAACTCAATTATCTGGATTTATATCTTGACAACTGCAAGGCACTCTACATGGGACTACCCTTGAAGAGTGTTTGGGATCTTCAGCTGGTAAAATATGTGGCAACTAAGCAGATGAGGCAGAGTATTGAGCTCATGCTACACCAGTAATGAAAGATTTGCCAAGTGCTTTCTAGCCCTAAATTATGGGGATGGTTTTAATATTTGAAATCTTGAATGATTTGGGTTCTGCTGGTTAAGCTTGAAGACTAAATATCAACCAACTACTGAAGACCCCTATCTCATCAGGAATCCATCTGGACATTGTGGTCTTCAGAAGAGTCCCTCTTCAGAACACCAGTAACAGCAGAGGGTATGAAATGGTTGTATAGAAAAGGCCTTTTCCTGGATTGCTCCCAGACCGTGGAATCCACTTCACAGAGCTATAATTAATCCCACTTTCTCTGCTTTTAGGAATGGCAGGGAAAGACAATGTCTTCGAACAGACCTTTTTAAATCGTGTATTGTTTGTTGTGATCATTTAGTCTGACTTCTTTATAAATTAAATGAATTGCAATGATTTTAGGATTGAATCTGTGTTCTATTTCTCTGCTTCTGGACTGTTTTATGGTACTTGAAAGTCACCTTTAGCACTGCTTTGTAGTGAAAAGGAAGTGTGGCAATGTAGCAAACATTAACAACTTCACATTGCAATTGCTCTGGATAGATTGGGATAGGATTATATTGTTGTAGAAAGAGACAGGGGTCATATTCAAGCATAGTCATCCTTAGAGCAGATATTATGAAGTAAATGGGATTTAGTAATAATTAACCTCGGTCCCATTGCTTTGTGTCAATCTACTCTATACATTAATATATTGATCCAATCCATAGAATCTTTAAGCTGCATAATGATTATAAATCAACAATTGTGGTGTACAAGAGTACTTTCTTTAGAATTTTCTTAGTGCTGTAGGAATCTGTTTATTTCTAATATACTTTACCTATAAACCTACAAATCAAATATATATTGCAAGGGTATAATAAATCTCTAATGCTGTCACACTCAAATGCAACTAATCTAATGCTCTTCTCCCAGAACTGTCTGCCTGTCTGGAGAGTGGGGCACAAATAATAGTAAATTCACTTGGATCTAGACTTAACTAACTGAACACCCATCTATAGCAGTGGGTTTACTTGAAATATGACTAAGCATGGATCTGTTGTTTTTCTGTATCTTTCTTGACAAGCAGTGAATATAATTCATGAAGGAAAGTCTGAGAATGGCTGAAGATCCACCTTAAATTTCCTGAACAGGCATCTAACAAAAATTAGTAAATAGCCTAGCAATGGCATCTGGAGGTCTCCCTGTTTAGTGGGAGAAATCCAGATTTAGGTGTGAAATCTAGATTTAGGTGTGAAATCTCAGAGGTGTGCCTGCAGCCATTTCTTTGCTGTGTCCTTGAACACATTTTTAAAATGTGAATAGGAAAAGAACAATACAGGAAACAGTCAACAAAATTCAGTACAAGCATTCAGGTGCTAATAAGATTAGATGGAGAGAGAGAGACAGACAGACAGACAGACAGACTCGCTCACTCCAGAGTAAGTATACTTTTGCCCCTGCAAAACTAAATGTTGAACAAGCATGGGAAGCGGATGAAATCTGGCAGAATTGCAGGACTTTTCTAGGCTTCTTCCAATGCTCGAGAAGCATCAAAACTGGAGAGCCTCCCTCTGTCCCTCTCACCTGTGCACTGGCAACTTCGGTTGAAGAACTTCAGTGGCCAGCGCTCCCGGTCATCCACATTGCGAAGAGTGTAGGGACCGCTCCACGGTCTGGTGTCCACTTGCACCTCCCTACAGGCACCTCTGCCTTGCTGTGAACCACACACATTGTCGGGATTAGACCCCAATGCTGGGCAACACTGCTTGGCCTGGATCCTCTCCACAGTCATGCACACTCGTGGGAATTGCGCCTTGGCTTCTGGAGGCCACAAGAGGCACAGAAAACCAAGCAGGACCCAGAAAAGCAGCTTCCTCCACTGGAGCAGCAAGACTGTCGGTGTCATGTTCCAAAGTTTCTTCAGCCTCATCACTCAACCTGTGAATATTTCAGCTGGTGTGATAAGAGTGAAAGCAATTTTGATTAGCAGCCTCTGGACTGAATATGTGAGGCAGATTTTACATGCCAGAGTAAGAGGGTTTCTTTTGTTCCTCACTGCTTACAAGGCTCAAGCTTGTGCTGTTCCTTTAATCCGAGGCAAGAATGTAGTTAAAAGACAGACCATTTAGTTCTTTGTCTGCCAAGGGGCCAGAGCTGGGGGCTTTTTATTTTGGGGTCAGCATACTATAATTAGGAGGATTAGCCTTCTGCCAACCTTTATGTTTAGCACATGACATCAAGGAGAAAAAAGGCCTCTTGAGTCGTGGAGGATATGTCTGAAGGCCATTGGCTCTGGATCAGGGAAACAAAAGTCTTTGATTTGCTCTCTAAGGACTTTGCAAAACCCCTGCAATCGGTGTTCATGTTGCATGCTTAAAGATGTAAGTTTCCATGTAGAAAATATAACATGCATTGTAAAATTATTTCATTGGACAGAAACTATTTTATTATTTTATTGTATTAAGGATAAATAATTTTATTATGAATAAATCCCCCTTCTGCCAAATATGGGATAAAAGATAGCACAGTTGGATGCTGAATTAAAAAATGAAAGCATAAAAGAATTAAAACACAATTTAAAGAATGTAACAGGTGCCAGCATCCTACTGGCAATTTACACTTGCATAAGTCTTGGCAGCAAATTGCACTCATTACCAAAGTGCTGGTTAACTTCAGGCAGGCAATCAGGAACACATGTAGCACCTCATTAATGAGTGATAAGATTGTAGGAATTTCTCTTATGTAAATATGAACTACCAATAGGATTCTAGCCATTGGAATTAAATTAGAGGCAAAATTTAAAGTAGTTTGAAACAATTAAAAAGTCATTTTTAAAAAAATCCCTATGGCAAATATAGGCAGGGGGAGCGGGGGACAAGTCTCCCTGCATGGCTGCCAAGTGGGAAGAGAACGGCACTCCAAGTGCGATTGGAAGGATGAGCAGAATCAGCGCTGCAGCAGGACACATGAGTGGATGGTCCAGCCTGAGGGGCCAGACCGTTTTTAAGTCCGGCAGTGTGAAGATATTCGTATACGAATACCCCCATCTCTACTCAGAGGCTGGCTTTCAAAAGCTAAACTCTCCTGTGTGCATGCCCCTGTCTGACTGGCTGTCTGGCCATGGCTTGGCTTTTTAAAAGGTGCAAGTGGAGGAACTGCAGAGGAAGGAAGAGAGGAGGAGGGGGGGGTTGGTTTGCTTTTCTTGACTGGTTGTTTGAGAAAAAAACAAGCAAGCAAACAAAATTCTCCTCCTTGCCCCCTTTGGTCTCCTTCCACTTCTGACTGCAGGCTGGTGGGGACCAAATAGGGTTGCTTCAGGTCTGTGTGCCATTTGGATGCAAAAACTTCACCAAATGGCATCTTGGATCTCCTAGTGACTCTATACATTCATTCCTGCTTCTTCAATGTGTTTTAAACTTCTCACTTTCCTCTTCTAACTCCCTAAGATCTAATCATTAACCGTCTCCTTCCTTCTCCTAAACCCTGACACTCCATAACTCTATCTAACTCCCCTTGTCTAACTGTCTCTCCAACTCCCTGTCACTCTAGCTCTGCCCCTCCTGCCCTATCCTTGGCTCTTCCCCCTTAGCTGCTGTGATGGACAGGCAGGAATGACGTCACCTTTTTGCATTCCGCTACAGATACCTTTAAGGGGTTTTGGATGGGAGGAACTTTTCTAGACTGGGGTTGAATGTCTGTCTACTCATTAGCAGTCAATTGTTTCCTTGCTACTTCAGATACTTTGTCCCAACGTTTCTCCAGTCAGGATTCAGTTAGATCAGTGTTAGCAATGGAGTTTGTCAGTTGGACAGTTAGAGTGAAGTATTCTGTCAGCTGTGTAACCAGTAAGTCAGTAATGAAGCTAATTAACCATTTAAACTCAGTGATGTAACAAGTTTACATTTTTATATACAGTGGACCCTCTACTTACGGAATTAATCCGTATTGGAACAGTGGTTGCAGGTCGAAAAGTCTGTCGGTCGAGTCTCCATTGACCTACAATGCATTGAAAACTGATTAATCCTGTAACTGGCCGTTTTTGTTCCATTTTTGTTCCATTTTGGTTTTTTTCTGGTCTGTAGGTCGATTCTCCGGCTGCAAGTCGAACCTAAATTTTGCAGCCAGAGAAGTCTGTAACTCGAAAAGTCTGTAAGTCGAGCTGTCTGTAAGTCGAGGGTCCACAGTATTATGATGGTTGCTTTTGTCTATGAAAAACTGTAAGTAAACAGAAACATTTTATTCTCTCATTGCCAGATCCTGAGTGAATGCATTGAGACAATAAGTGCTAGCTGAGGAAAACTAACAAATAAGGAGTGGTCTACTGAGGGACGCTTGAAGCCATTCTCCTCTGTAGGTTCCTGTCTGAATATTTTACTTGCTGCATAATTAGAGGAAGTTTACTTAATTTTTAAAGCCACTCTCAATTTCCTCACACACTTTCCCCCAAGAATGCATAACCTTACGGAGTACTTCTCCAGTTGATTCATTTGGAAGATGGCTTTGCTTAACCCAAGCTTTCCCAAAATGGAAGACACAGAATGAGTAAAATCAAGGGAATCCCTACTATCACTTCCAATCATTAAGTGGACACAACAACAGAAGTTCCTAATTCCACTGCACAGGGAGAAGGGGTGGAGCCCAAAGAGGAGGAGAATGCTGAGATGAGGATTTGGCCCATTGGCTGGAACTCCCACATCTTTGTTTTAATTCCTAAAGACTGCCTAAATTGGAACTCCCACATCCAGATCATGAGTTCATCTTTGGTAGACCTCCACTATATTTCAGATAGTTTATAAATTGTAGGCACTGCTGTTGGTTGTTTTGAAATTATTGATATCTGTAATTTATTCTACTACAGTGGACCCTCGACTTACAGACGGCTCGACTTACAGACTTTTCGAGTTACAGACTTCTCTGGCCGCAAAATTTAGGTTCGACTTGCAGCCGGAGAATTGACTTACAGACCAGAAAAAAACCAAAATGGAACAAAAACGGAACAAAAACGGACGGTTACGGGATTAATCGGTTTTCAATGCATTGTAGGTCAATGCAGACTGGACCTACAGACTTTTCGACCTGCAGCCACCATTCCAATACGGATTAATTCCGTAAGTAGAGGGTCCACTGTACTGAAAACAGTGGGAATAATTACATTCTCCAAATATTCCTGCCTGGTGGAGATATGAGGATGGCTAATTGGACAAGGAGACACTCCAGGTGTGGAATATTCTTTCCAGAGAGGCTCACCCAGCACCCTCTTTTTCTTTCCCCATGATTTAAAAATTCTACCATGTCAAAGCTGAGTTGGTGTACTCTCTGTTGCTACTAGAGAGATTTGTTGATCTTATTTAGTATCTGTTGCTCGAGAAGTTATGCTGCATTTTTATTTTATGGCTTATAATTTCATTTTATATTTTAATTTTTCCAGACCAACCTTCATTGTAATGTGGCCCTAGAAAAATTGTTAGTTACTGGCATAGAACTATTGGCAAAAATTTTACTGGCTAATTATACTGCATAAGCTTGATCATAAACTGCAATGGCACAGTGCTGTTAATTAACTAGTTACCACCCTTCATCATACATCGCTCACACAATTGGTGCACAACAAAACATACAAGTAGCAACTCATTAACTATTTGCCACTGTAATTTACATCATTGCACTTAACACCAGCACGAATGATCAATAGGATTCTGGCCACTGGGTTGGTACCAGATCTTAGTCACCCTCAGAATAGACACATTGAAACCAATACGCGGGGCTTGGTTGATTTCAGTGAGTCTGTTCTAAGTATGACGCAGTCTGAATCTAACTCCTGTAAGTAAATAGGTAGTGAACGAATGAATGAATGAATGAATGAATGAATGAATGAATGAATGAATGAATGAATGAATGAAAGCATTAGCTTACGTTGGAAACACAGTTCTAAATCTATCATGATGCTACCAGGGTAGGGCTGTTTCTTTGGTTTACAATATTTTGTAAATATGTCCACGACTGCTTGCACGTGTGTATTGGAGATATTCCCTGTACTGATTCTGAAAGGTGCATCCACTAGCACAACTGATCTTGTGCTAGTAAAATGACATCACAAAATACAAACTCCAATTCGTAAGAGTCAAAAGTGTTTGGAAAAAGATTTTGTTTCCTGTTGTGAATGTGCATATTCTTTTTATCTCATTGTCACACCTGCTCAAAAACATTTTGCCGCTGTTTTAAGTCAGAGGTGAGCAGATGGTAGATCTCAAGCTATTGGTAGCTCTCTAGATATTTTAAAGAAGATTGGAAAGGATTTGTGACTCTCAGGTTAGTTCAGATACTTTGATAGTTCACTCCTGTTTTAAACAATACTCAGATGTGATAAACCTCAAAAAAGGAAAAGAAACTTTATCACCACTGATGCACCGCAATCAAAAATAAAAGAAGACAAGGAGATCACATGCTTTCTGTGAATGAGTTCAGGTTCAATGGCTCTGACCAGAAGGGTTTACTGAAATCTTGGCAAGATTATTGATTATGCTGAGTTGTAAATTCTGGGGATTTAAAAAAGTAATTTTCCCAAGAATTGCCATTGTATAAATATCATTTTGTCATCTTTCAAAAATATATCTTATTAGCACTTCCTTAGAAGATGTTTTGCATCTTCAGAAAGGTCCTTCAAAGAATGATCTCAGGAAATGATTGAGCACCAAGATAGGCACCCTTCTGCAAGTACGTAAATCAAGTAAGTAGGCACAAAGAACCATTTAATGAAATAGGCAAGCCAGAGGCATAAGTGTCAGAGTTAAAGATCTTCTGTACACTGAATGCTTTGTTGAGTGTGCTCATTGGTCAGTCAAATTTCTTTTCTTGAGGTTGACATTTTAATGAACTTGGGTTTTAATAAAGCATGAAGTACTACAGTAAACTTACTAGCTCTAAAGAATAATCACATGTCTCTCACACCCAGATGAGTTCGTGTTAGTGTAAAATTTAGGGAACACAGCTGTTTTCCCATGCTTGTAGATTGGAGGAAAGGGGAGGAGGAAACCTTAGCTACCTAACTAGCTAATGATAATAATAATTGTGTGCCATCAATTCTGATTTATGGTAACCCTTTTCAGGTTT